CACAGACAACCCCATAACAATATGCGTTTTGTACTGCTGTTACACAGCACAAAACGCATAAAAAATTAAGGCTAGGATTTGTCTGCGCGTCAATTACAAGTACACTAGATGCTCATTTCCCCAATAATACTTATGATGCCAAATTTTCGTAGTGGTCGATAGGGCAGTCGCCCTCAGAAAAAAACTGTTGTCTGTAATTGATTTTAATAGCTTAATAAAAAAACCAAATGAAAATTCGTACAAATCAAACGAAAATTCATGAAAATCGAAAAAAAACTTACATGTCATTTGAAAAAGAACCACTGAAGTCTTCTTGTTTCGCATCATCACTTTCATCAAGCATTTTTCCTGCTTCACCTTTGTCTGCGCATTCTGCATCTGATTTTTCATCGGCCGAACTTTCAATTTCTTCATCATCAGTGTCCCGGGATTCTGAAAATTCATCTTTCTGTGCGATGCCACTATTTTAATAATAAGTAGATATAAGTAGAAAAAAATAAAGTAAGAAAAAAACATGCACTGCAAAGAAATATCAATTGAAAATAGAGGAAAAGATCGAAAAAATTATGCAAATACGTAAGATAACATCAAATAATGAATTTTGCTTACAAAAAAGGACCTCACCTTCTGGATTGTTACTATCCCCTTTGAGTACATTTTTCGTCTGTTTTGATGTGCGCAACAAAGCATCTTCCATTGCATCGAATATACTCATCAATTTACACATATTTTCACGTGCTGTAACAATCCACATTAAATTTTCTAATTTCAATAGGTTATAAAGGGAGTGATGGGAGAACCGTGGGAAATGCACTGTTCGTTTTGCTTATAACCGAATGACGCCGCGCATATAATCAGCGGTTTCTAGGTTCCAAAAGGCGCTTCGCAATCAAAAAACAAAAGGTGATTAATGCGTAGCTCAGTATGGAAAGGCATTGAATGTGTAGCTCAGTATGGGTAGTTAAGATCAGTGTATGATATGCATTACAGTAATATACTAACGTCTTAACACTAATACCACTATCCCCAGCAAATTTTTACGATTAAAAATCAGCTTTGCATAGGAAGAACACCCTGCTGCCGCTGCTAATAGAAAGGTATTTTGAAGTAGGAAGAGGAAGAAAAGAGCAAATAATATTAAGAAATTAGTCAAAGTAGTAAAATTATTTTGGTAAAATTATTATAATGGCAAGAAATGTTTCGTTTCATTAAGTCGTATACATTTATTGCTAAACCATTTGCGTCAACCCGAGAAAAACAGTGCAAGAAATCTAAGGCTAAAAAATTAAATTGAAAAAGCCAATCTTTTTCTTCACGACTCGTGATTAAGGACAGAGGAGCGTTGGTGAGATCGAATTTTTAATTAGTTGGAAGGAGGCCTCCGCAAATTACTGCCTATGAGTATAGTATGTCACGAATCGGCGTACTTCCATCCAGATAATCTCACGAAATCGTCCAAACAGTCCTTGGCAAACAAGAAATTCCCCTGGCAATTTTTCCAAAAAAGTCACAAAAAATGAATGTTACCAATTTTGCAATTTTTTGCTGTG